TTTTTTAGTTCAGCAACAAATTTGTTACTCTTATATACCAGTTTTCATTACCCTACACTTATGATGAACTTTTTTAGAAGAAATTTGTTCAAATGTAACTGTTTTACGCGCTGGATCCACAAGTAGAGAAATTCATTTGTTCATACTTCTAATGCCCGACAATTTTCCTTAATTATCAAGTAACAACAGTACAAAAGTCAATTACATCACAGTTCCTTAATCTACCTGGTATTTCATAACATTAGAAAACCATAACTTAAATAGATTGATTTCTGCATTTGACTTTGGATTTTATGTGAGTGCTTAAAAGGATACCTTTCGTGCCTTCCTTTCCTTCTAAACTTTTTACAGCGTAAGTTTTGTAGCATGTTCGCCGAAACTCGTTCTTATTCCACAGTATTTATAATGCCTGTATTAGCGTGCTGCACTGCTAGGGTCAAATTTCAAGCTGTTTGCTCAAAATTTCAAGAACAGCTTTGATGTAAATGTTTCGTGATATTCATTTGTGTAGAGTCTGAAACATTTAGATAACCAGGCTCCGCCCTAAAAATGTGTCGAACTTTTTGGAGAAGATATTTTGTTAACTGGTGAAAGCGTTGATGCTAACGCCTAAAACACAGCATTGAAAAAATCTCGCTTGCTCTAGCTATACTTGTACATGATTGTGAACACCCACATACCAGGTTCCGTATTACCAATTTTTGTAAAAGCGCTGTGTTACCAGCAGTTTCATCATTACTGAGGCAACTTTTGCAATAATCCACCGTAATATTCAGGATCTCCTGCTTGGATCAGCAATTATTTATAGGATTCAGCAAAACTTTATGAAACAATAACACAGAGTTCAAGTCCACTTGTGAGATGTTAATTAGCTCAAAATGGCTTGAGATGCAACATGCCACTAGGGTGCACAATGTTACTAGCTATTCTGCAAAATATAGGAAGCCAAGAATGAATTCTAGTGGACGTTCTAAAAACAGCAATTATGCCGATTACATATCGGGAGACGTCGGGAACATATACACGAAATTCAATTGAGAAAATTGAACACCTGCTCAAATGACTTTTTCAAATAAATCACGGATGGTAGTAATCTAAGCGAAACTACACGACTGTCATTAACTCCATTAACTAGCAATTTGAAATTAAAACTTAAGCTCGCCTTCGTCTCCAATCGGTCGACAACCATTGGCCGATTTTGGGCAAATGCACACATGCTCAGATTGAAAAGCCAAAGGTAAGTATCCATCTCTTCAAAGTTTGTTTGAATTCTTTCCTGAATCGAAATACATTCTCAGTAATGTATAGTAGTGCGGAACGAGCAGACTTTCATTCCTATGGTCGTGACCCACTAGCGCGACGCGCGGCCCCGGGAATGAAATTCTTTGCCATTTTGTTCGGACAACGTTGTCTGTGACGAAATTCAAATTCATTTGTCCTAAAAAAATCAAAGAGCAGTTATCCGCTATCATGATTATGCAGAATAATAAATAGATATTACCAATTATAATTGTGAGAACTGCTACGGACCTCTTCGAATTGTCCCTCCAGATGGTGTTGAGAGGTAAGATCAAGCAACACTTTTGCAATAAAGTGCATGTAGTTATTTTTTTGCTGAGTAAAACTATTTTTTGCCATAAAAAACTTAAAAATCTTGTT